ATGACATATATAGCAGATATGTCATATACGACTGGTCTGTCAGTTTCTGCCAGTTTCAACATATACATTACTTAAAATCCATTTGTTCAGATAAATTTGTTCTCTTTTTTAACATCAACCCCTCTGCTCAAAGTATAGGTTCAGAGTTGGCTTTCTCATAAAAAAACACCTAGCCGACCACGTGTATAACCACTCCTCCTTCTTTCATCGCATTTTTTCAATAGATTTCCAATTTAAAAACAAATACAAACTCCGCATTATTAATATTTATGTTTCTAGTTCAGATAAAAAATTACGTGACAAAACTTACAAGAAAGCTTTAGATCTAATAAACGATGCATACCAAAAGGATTTCCTCACAATACTCCTTGGCGATTTTAACGCAGATCTATTGTAGACCTCTAATCCTTCAAATTCAAAAGCCTTCTTCACTTTGCTTGATAATTTTCACCTGATCAACAATTTAGACCTTATTAAAAATCAGAAATCGAATGATGATTTTATTATCTATGAAATCAGTATAGGACGTTCTACAATTAATCATATTTTTATGCATTTCTCATTAATTCTAGACCTTATCGATCAAGTGGTGAAAAGAATTGACAATGACTTGTCAGATCATGCTGTCGAACATGCAACTATTTCATTAGCATCAATCAACCCCTCCTTCACCCAACGTGCAGCAATTAAAAAATTAGTTTATCAATATAATGAAATATCTGAAAATGACTGGTCTGCCTTTAGAACCTCAGTCGATCAATAATGTAAAAACACAAGACTTAACTCTGTGTCATTAAACAGCATTCATACAATCTACCATTTAAACTACTATTGGATTTCTACAAAAATCAACTATAGACACTACCACCAAAACAATTCTTAACAAACATACTTCATATCACAATAGAGATCTTAGACTACGTATTTTCAAATTGATTTACAAACGTATCAAAATAGTTCAAAAACTTTGTAAATCAAGCAACAAATGCATCACGAATAATATTGTCAACCCCAAATAGATCACTTGGTATAAAAAGATACAAGCATTTTCATCAGAATATGCTATAACAGTTCCTGACACCAGTCAACCTTTAATACAAGATATTAAATCAATTCATCCTCTATTAATTGATCTTTGTAAAGTCTTATCCACTGCAGCCAAACTGAATGAAACTGAACTCAAAACAAAAGCTATTAATGACGCTATTGAAAGATGATGTAATAATTTCGTAGATGACCAAAGAGCTATGTTTGACTCATTATTAGAGCGTCCTTGTATTACTATTATACTGGATAGATGTATAAATAATAACAGTCCTGACAAAGAACTCCTTACAGATCTAAACAATGTTCAAAATGAAACAGCAAGATATTTTCAAAAAGTGGTTAGCTCACAATATTCTAACCTAGCCTCTTCAAAGGATTGGAAACAAGTTTATACGCTAGATAAATCGATAGATTCTAATATATATAACTCCATTATGCAACCCTTCAGAAGAAGAATGGCACAATATCATTAGAACGCTCCCTGATGGAAAAGCTCTTGGACTATCCAAGATATCTAACGAAATGCTAAAACATCTCAGCCCATTTGCATCAAAATGCCTTTAGATCATCTTTGTCACTCAATTTAGCACCTAGTAAATGAAACCTAGCCTTTGTGTATCAGATACCCAAACTAAAACCTTGGGAATATAATTTAACAAACACACACTTTATTACACTTCTTGAATGCCTATAGAAAGCTCTTACAAAGCTAATTAATCGTCATCTCTTAAACGTATTGTCTACCAATAATATTCTCAAAGGAAACAACTTTGAAGGTCTGCCTTGCAGAAGTACTTTTAAACTAATACATATATTCGATAATGTTATTTATGACGCTTTATTTCATCACAACAATCTTTAGATTTTATTCCAAGATATATCAAAGACATATGATCACATTAATATCACTATGTTAATCAGAGCTCTCAGCCATCTTCAAATTCCAGAAACATTCATTAAATTTTTGATTTCAATCTTCCTTTCCTGTTTTAATCAAGTTTTTACTACGTATGGTAATTTGGATACTTACTTAATCCTCTCAGGTATCGACTAAGGTGAAATTATATCTTCTATTTTCTGGTGTATATACTATGACCCTCTCTTGTTTTTATACAAAATTCAGCACATGGTTATACATAACACGTCTACTGGAGAATAAATATTACAAAATATAATACACAGAGCTTTTCAAATCATGTTCCAGCCTTTGCGTATATGGATGACATACTCTGGTTGGCAGATTCCAGATCTGATCTCATAAATATAATGAACATAGCAGATTCCTTCTACATACTCAACAGCATTCAGATCAACTGAAATAAATCAGTCCTTATGATTAATGACAAAAATTCCTTTCCTGTTAACTTTAATTTTAATGACAAAAACATCTGGCTAACATCACTACATCACAAAGAATTTACTAGATATTAGGAGTCTAGATATCTCTGTTTAATAATAAACAATTCATTACCAAACAAATTTTTGATGAGTTTACCAAAACTAAGAACGTTCTAAGCAAGAAAAAGCTCACTGCTAAACACATAGTTGCTATCTTTAATACTGTTGTCATCCTTCAAATACTGTATAAGACAAATCTTACGTTCATTTCTTACTCAGTTTGTAATACTCTCATGACCTCTTTCAAAACTTTTTTCAAAAAAAAACTAGGACTTTCAAGATTAATATCTGCTTCAGTAATCCATTTAACCTTTGGTTATAATCTAGCGCATCTTTACGATAAACAGATATAAGCTAAATCATCTGATCTATTAAAGATGACTAATGATATTTTACTTCTTGGTTTAACTTCACAGCTATACATTTTAAAACTTCAACTTTTGGAATGGTTGCCAACATCCCTCTTGTCTGACTGGCCTTATTCAGAGATCAAGCCTTTTAAAGATTGGTAAGCAGGTTTCTTATCAGCTGCTAAGCAAATTGTACTTAAATTTCAATAATATTTAGACAAAGATTATAACTTAAAACAAATAGATAAAGGCTCGCTCCTAATATTACAACTTATTACTTCCAAGGTATATCGGCAAAATATATTAAAACTTCAATTACTTTTGATTTTATATATTGATCAACTCACTATTATGGATGGTAACAACCTTTTTACAGCCTTTGATCTAAATATGATTTATGACTCAATCTTCCATAGTGCCAAATAGTTCAAACAGCTAGAATCACAGTTTTTAATCAATGTCTCAAATAGACTCCTATTCAATAATTGTCCTTCTCACACATCACTCATCAAAGCATCTGCTTAACCTACCAATTTTAATGCTTTAGCAACCAATCCAACTTTTATTGTAATTTGGTCTAATCAATATATGATATTCATATTAAGCAAAGTAGTCAAAGTCGAAGATACTATCATATATGCATAATATTATTCACCAAATCTATCTGCTTGCTATTAAATACCTATTGTCCCTTGTACTAGATGTAATCTTTTCGATCATGTAGCTTTTATACCTTACAAACAACAACAATATCATGCTATTAGATTACCCAAATCATTTTGTTCAATATTTAAAGTTTTTCACAAATCCCACAAAAAATGGTGGTATAGTCTTTCTCATCTAATGCTTCATGAAGTCGCCCTATCAACCTTGATATCTCCTTATTAATATCCAACTAAACCTGCACTTAATTTAGATATTCTTCCCTTTGATCAAACATCTATCAATAAATTAAATTGTTTTAAATCACAATTTACTAATGCTAACGTTCTCCAATTTTATACAGATGGTTCTCTTACATCTTTAGAATTTTCTGACTGCCAGATAGAAATGGCATAGAGCTCTGAACAGGTCGGTTCAGGTTAGGTTAATTAAGTTAACTGAACTGAGAGGATCAGGTTAGGTTAAATAAAAATTGATCTGATTTAAATTTTTATTTGATCTGACCTAAACTGACCTAATCTGATCTGTTTTAATTTAACTTAATTTAGTCAAATTATTTAAAAAAAATAATATTTTATATTTTTTTTTGATTTTTTTATTTCTTAATTTTTTAATTATTTTTATATTTTTAAATAAAATAATGTAAAACTAATAATTATAGTTTACATTAAAGCTATTTGAATCAGTTTTTGTTAAATTTAAATAAAAAATTTATATATATATTAATATACCGAACAAATATTTTTAAAAATTAAAAAAAATTTCATATAAATTTTACATATAAAATATTTTAAAAAAAAAATTAAAAGTTGCATTACTATATTAATTTTAAAAATTTTATGCTATATAAACTATAAAATTAAGTTTATATAGTTTAAATATTATTTAAACGATAAATTTTAATATATTAATTATATATTCAATTTGATTGATCAACCTGTCAGGTCAAGTTTACCTGATCTGACCTGACCTGAACTGATCTAAAAAAGAAAATTTTTTCTATTTATTCGTTAAAAAATATTTAATATAAATAATAATATAATAAACAATTTTTAATTCAGTTAATCAATTCCATTATAATTATTTTATTATAAAAAAAAATGTATTTATATTCTTTCCACTATTTTTTTATCACTCTTTGTGTTTAATATATTAATAAAAAATTACTAAAAGGTTTACTATAACAAATAGTAAAAAAAAATTATAAAATTATTATAAATTTAAAAATTTTATCCAATTTTTAAAACACATACATGCCCTAATACTTTCTTGATTTAAACTAGATCTTTTCTTTGTAATTAAATCAATGTCACCTGAAAATATTCTTTCAACAGATACACTTATACCTATATATTGAATAAAAATTAAATTTATAAAAAAATTAAAAAATATTTTAAAAATATTTATTTACCTGGTATAGATAAAAAATCCTGTGCCATAGATGCAAGTTGTGGATAAGTTTCTTTATGTATCTATATATATATAATATAAATTAATAAATCTTTCTTAAATTAATAATTAATAAAATATAATTACCTTTTACTATTGTAATGGATCTGTCTTAAATGGAATTACAGGTTTTTGAAGATAATCTTCTAATTCATCTTTATTAATTTCATTATTTTTTCCAAAAACATTAACAAGAAAATCATTTGTATTATCAACTTCATTATCAATAATAATTGGTAAATTATATTTATAATTTTTATTATAAATATTTGTAACAGCTTCTAATGCTACATCTATATATTCTTGCTCCTATTCTTGTATTTGATAGTATTGCAATTTAATTCTAGGATTTAATACTAAATAATAAATAAATATAAAAATTAAAATATTATATATATTTTAATTTTAAGAAAAATAAAAAATCTACTTACTTGTTGCTATAGAATAAATATATGATTTATCTGTTTTAATATAATATTTTTTAAGTTTTTCATATCCTTTTAATACAGCAGTACATATTTTCAAGCAATAATTACTTTTAGTATCTAAAATTTTTTCTAGATGGTTAAGTAATACATTATAAATAGGAATAGAAGAGGAAAGTGTAATATATTGTGATTTTAACATATGTTCAGTAGCTTTGTTAAAAATCTAAAAATCATAGAAGTTTTTTAATAATATTTTTATATTAAATAAAAAAAATTAATTAAACTTACTTCTAACACATAACATAATTGATTTATTAATTCCCATT